CGGAAGTGAAGTGCCGGCATTATTGACTCCAGCTGTAACGCAAATTACTTGGTTCAAACAAACATTTGACGACTGTGCAAAAATAACTACATAAAAGACACCACTGTTACAGAAAGACTTTACACGCTATTTAAACTGCCGATCGCGAACGGAACAAACCGTGATTGAAACTAACTGTGATGCCGCTCTTTATTCGTTGCGCTAACTGTCACCTGTCAGTGGCAGACCCGCCCCTTTTAAAGCGTCAGCTTAATCCATCAATATGGGTTTCCCTGGATGGAATTTATTTATCCTTCGTGATTATTGCGGTCTTCGGACCCACTGTATAACTGTGTACAAGGAATTCGAGGCTCTAATAGCTCATTGTGTCCGAGGACCGGCAACCCAAGGCCAAGGCCAAGGCCAAGGACTTGAATGCCAAGGCCAAGGCCAAGGACTTGACTCCCGAGGCCAAGACCAAGGACCAAGGACTGACCTTTGGTCCTCGAGCCGGTCCTCGAGGCCAAGGACCGGCTCGAGGAACACATCACTGGCAAACAGATGTTCAGGAAAGAGACTGAGATCAATAGTACTCATAGTAAAATGCAGTCCCTCAATAGCTGCAACACAGATACTTGAGATAACAGTTCCTCTTTTGATGTTGACATGTCCTCTGGAGGGGTCCTAAAAGTGGGGGTGAGGGGGTACCAAAGGTGATTGTAATCACAGTAAGCAGGAAATACCTTCAACAGCATTCTGCATTGTTTCTTTCAAATCCAGCTAACAGAGAGGAATCATATCTTAACACTTTCAAAGGTCACATTTTGTTTGGCACAAAGTACTCTTCAAACTTCCTCATCAGTTGTGCCAAAGTCAAATTAGCTTCATCCAAACCAAAACTGTTGTAGATGTCCAAAGCATCTTCTCCAATGACATGCAAAAGAATGTGAGCCTTCAGTTTTTCATCGTTGCCTCCTGCTCCACTTGCTGCTAGATACAGTATATAGCAAATATTTGCTTAAAACGCTTCCAGTTATCAGCAAGATTACCAGTCAGTTGCAGGGAAGTAGGTGGACTTAACTTATCCATGACAGCACAACGGGTTAAAATCAGCTTTCTGTTGTCGGTTGTCCTCAACGTCGGGCACGACATTCTCTTTTACTTGTTTGATCTGTCCCGCGTCCTTCGTTTCACTTCGCAGTTCGTAGCCAACGCAAGCAGTAGCTAATTCCGCGAGCATGTAGCTTCGCCAATCACGCGTTCACTCACATGGCCGGGGACTCCAAATCCTCTCTCGCTCGTGCTTTCGTAGCTCTTTCGTGACAAACCTTTTCACTCCGAGGCAGCTCACGGCCACTTCTGACACCATGTGTTGTCTCTCTTATCATGTAATGAAGGAGACGAGGCGTGTTGGATAGAACTCGTTCATTCTTTACTTCCAGGTTGTACTCTCAAATCCTGTGTCATGCTGGGTAATGTAGTTATGTTTTTTTACTCAAAGCAGTACTGTATCCATTTTATGAGTCGAGGCGATTATTGCCTTTAAGTTTGTCCCTAAGGCTTTGCCGTACATCGTTGTTCGACAGCTAAAGCTGGACCTCCGCACGCCACACTACAACACGGCTTCAGTTGAAAAAAACTATTGAAAAAAGAAAGATAATCAACATTTCTTCTCGAATTACAGTTAAACGCGACCGAATTACAGTTAAACGCACCTTAGCCTCGACGCAGGACACCCATCATTGTTTTATTGGACTATAACATCATTATCTCAAGCTTCGGGGCCTAGTTTAGCTTACTTAGCTTACTTGGCCTAGCTTGCTAGCCGCTGCCTCGCAAAGCAGAGATCAAGTGTGAACGTAAAGTGTTGTAATTTTCCCTAAAAATGTGCACAAGAGGAAGGGCGGAGAACGATGAGCAACTTTGTGGAGCAAAAGAGGACAGCGGTGCTGTTTTTAACCAGTCTCGATCTCGATTTGGCTCACGCGGAGCAGGTTTGGTCATGACTAGTTCTTTCACCATAGGTCACGACCTACTTTTCTTCCTGTCATTATTCACCATTTTACGCAACTTTTCTGCCAAAAGCGGTCAAGAGAGACGAATTGACTTTTTTTCTCCCAGTTATCTCTCCTTCACTTGAGTGCTGCGTTCTTACTTTTTGGAAACGTTTATTTTTTTCTGGGAGGGGGGGCGGGGGGTTCATTTGACGGACACGCCAGCTAGCTCCCGTTGGGTGCTATTTTCCTCATGGTTCTCTGTGCCTTGCCATGTCTTTTTTTTCATGTAGTTCATCAGGGTGAGTGTGTGTGTGTGTGTGTGTGTGTGTGCGCGCGCGCGCGTGCGCGTGTGTGCGTGCGCACATAGGCATCTTGTGATATGTATCTGTGTTTGTTGGGGAGGAAGGAGAAGGGTCCTCTTTTTATGTTGTAATTTAGATGTTTTAATTGCACGGCACTTTTGAGTTGTACTTTTCTGTTTGAAAAGTGCAATACAAATGAACTTTGATTGATTGATCTGGCTCTTCTAATAACTTTCATTGTAAATCTAAACCATGATTCCACATGTGTTTGTCTTCTTGTGTTTTTCAGACATCAGCGAAGATGTTTTTCCTGAGCGGCTGGATGCAGAGCCTTCTCACTTGAAAGAGGAAGAGGAGCAGCAGGCCCAAAATATTAAAGAGGAGGAGCTAGAGCACCCTTGCACGAAAGCGGAGGTGGATGAGCCCCCTGACATCAAAGAAGAGGAGGAGGATGAGGTTATCTGCAAGGTGCCATTTAATGACGTCCTTCTGAAGAGTATAAATGAGGCAAACAAAGAGGCTCCAAGCAGCAGCTCATTACAACACATGACAACAAAAGGTGTTGGAAACCACCAGGAAGAATCAAAAGCAGATGGCCTCTTAGCTCCACTATCAGACAGTGACAACACGTCGTCAAATGCAGATGATGATGATGAGGAGGAGCAGGATGTAGATGAGTCAGAAGGTGATCTGACCTGTAACACTGACAGCAAACCATGGAAATGTTCTCACTGTGGGAAAATGTATGCTTATAAAAGTGCTTTGGAATTACACATCAGAACACACACTGGTGAGAAACCATTCACCTGTTCAGACTGTGGCCGGAAATTCTCTTGTAAGGGAACCTTAACAGGTCACACAAGAACCCACACTGGTGAGAAACCTTTTTCCTGCTTAGTTTGTGGCCAAAGATTCTGCTGGAGGGAAAGCTTAAAAAAGCACCTAAGAACCCACACCGGTGAGAAACCTTTTGCCTGCTCAGATTGTGGCCAAACATTCTCTGAGAAGGCAAACTTAAATAAGCACATAAGAACCCACACTGGTGAGAAACCTTTTACCTGCTTAGTTTGTGGCCAAACATTCGCTCGGAAGGAAAGCTTAACAATTCACACAAGTACCCACACTGGTGAGAAACCTCTTTCATGCTCAGTTTGCGGTCAAAGATTCTCTCAGAAGGATCACTTGATGTGTCACACAAGTACACACACTGCTGAGAAGCCTTTTGCTTTCTCAGTTTGTGGTCAAAGATTCTCTTGGAAGGGACACCTAGAATGTCACACAAGAACCCATACTGGTGAGAAACCTTTTTCATGTTCAGAGTGTGGCCAAAGATTCTCTCAGAAGGGAAACTTAAACATACACACAAAAACACACACTGGTGAGAAACCTTTTGCCTGCTTAGTTTGTGGCCAAAGATTTTCTCAGAGGGGAACCTTAGTAAGTCACACAAGAACCCACAATGGTGAGAAACCTTTTGCCTGCACAGATTGTGGGCAAAGATTCTCTCAGAAGGGAAGCTTAATAAATCACGCAAGAACCCACGCTGGTGAGAAAACGTTTGCCTGCTGAGTTTGTGGCCAACGATTCTTCTGGGAGCATCAGATTAAGAATCACAAGTGTTTTGAGATGAACGGTTATCAGATAACAGTTAAGTTTTCAGCTTTCATCTGTGCAGGCTACATGATTTCATGCACCAAGGCTGATATGTTCCTTCTTATCGGGATGCTGAACTTTTCTTTCCCTTGACTGCATTGAAAAGTTATTTTGTTGTAACTAAATAGAAAATCTAGCATTTTCATCAGGGCTACAATACTTTAGGATTCTTCATGGGAGTTAATTTTCATTTGGTTGTGAGTTGAGGTTTTTAAATATAGTTTTTTAAATTAATTTTCAGAGGATGTTTGGTCATTTATATTAATTCTTAGGTTTTTTTTTTCTATTTTCAAAATTTAACGTCTTTGTCTGGATAGGTTTGGTCATTTGTATTCGTTTTTTTTCCCCTCCTCAAAATTGAACCGTCTTTGAATCGGAAAAATGTATTCTTTCTTCAATTTTGCTCCATGTGCTCATTTCTCCCCACCCACTTGCTGTCAATCACCTTTGGAGGTGCTCAGAGTTGAAAGGGCAGTTGGGATGTGGAGGGTGTTTTAATGAGTGACGAAACAATATTAATGTAATCTGAGCACAAAATGCAAATTTGTGTGCATTTGATATAAATGTTAGTGTCTCCATCCTGTATCATTTGGGCCAGGAATAAAATATTATAAATGTCCGTGTAGTTACTTTTTGCATGTTATGCTTTTTTAAAAATAAAATATAACTGAATATTCATTTACTTTGTCTCAGTTTGAACTTTTATGGGTTCAGTTTAATTGTCATTTGTTCTCACTGCTCCCTGGAACACCCCTGGACTTCTTCTGATCCAGTCTGTGCCACAGTCCACGGGAATGAAAATACCTCTGAGCTCAACATTCGGAAGCTCCTCTTTCAGAGGCCTCATCATGGCGCCCGGATCACGTCGCTTTGGTCATTGCCACAAGTTTCACACTTTCATCCACTTGCATCCATCCATACTGAATAGACGCACCTGAAAACCTGGACTCTCCCTCACTCACCCCTTGTAAATAGCACAGCCACTTTATGCAGCATATATGCAGCTGCATATATGCTTTTATACTTTATATTGCATTCTGTACTGTGCACAGTTCATTTTTTAAATTTATTTTGTGCACGTTTTTCTACTTTCTTCTCTCCAAATGTTGCTGCTGTAAATTGCAAATTTCTCCGTTGTGAGACAGTTCTCACATAATGTCCGGAATATTTATATAGTGCCCTGTCAGCCCTTATCTATAAAGGTAGAATATTTCAATCTAGCAGTGTTTTAAATAAAGGCCTACATCATAATATAATTAATTTAGAAAAGCTTTGTACCATGGTTCGTTCAAAACGATATTTCACTGTTAATAGTCATAGCATTTAAAAAAACAAACAAAAAAATTTGAGTATTTGGTGTCATTCTTTGTGTTTTATAAATTCTTCATTATTATTATTTATCTTTGTGAATGTTTTGAAACATTAAGATTGACAAGTTATTTTGTGTCTGCGATTGGCTGGCAACCGGTTCAGGGTTTCCCCCGCCTACTGCCCAAAGACGGCTGGGATAGGCTCCAGCACCCTCTGTGACCCTTGTGAGGATAAAGTGGATCAGAAAATAGATGGATGGATAAGATAAGATAAGAAAAACTTTATTTATCTCACAATGGAGAAATTTGCAAATTACAGCAGCAAATTTTGGAGGGAAGACTGTAATGATATGAGCAAATCGTATTTGCTTGTTCGATTAGCTATGCCTGCGCACAGAGCACACACAAAGCATGTGCAGCCATTAGTCAGTCGTACGAGAGTCTACGAGATGTACACATGGTGATTGCTTTCTCCCTCTGACCAAGACAGCAGTCCAAATAAAGAACCCCTACTCTTACTAGGAGTTGGTTATTAAACGAACCCCGATCGCACAAAACAGACACATGGTGTCAGAAGTGGTCTGGAAGACGAGAGGACGTTAAAAGGACTTGGAACGGCAGATTCCACGGAGGAAAAAGAAAGCGAGGAATACGGCGTTGAACAAAACCCCTTTGAACAAAGCAAAGATGGAAGCTTTACGTCCGCCCACAGCTCTGCAGCTAACGGGTAACATGGTTGAAAACTGGAAGAGATTCAAGCAACATTTTGAACTGTATTTGTCTGCGATTGGAGCTGATGAAAGGAGTGCTAAGATGAAAGCATCTGTGTTTTTACACGTCGTGGGAGATGAAGCTTTAGAAGTCTACAATAACTTCACATTTGATGCTGAGGATGACAAAATGAAGCTTTCAAAAATAATGGAAAAGTTTGAAGCTTACTGCATTCCAAAACGTTTGAAAGGCACAGATTCTTCACATGTGTACAGACAGTTGGAGGAACTATCGACCAATATGTAAATGAACTGAGAAACAGATCAAAGACATGTGAGTTTGGTGGATTAACGGAATCACTGATCAAAGACAGACTTGTGTGTGGCACCACAGATAATAATCTGAGAGAGAGGCTTCTCAGAGAATCAGATCTGGACCTGGAAAAAGCTTTAGCACTTTAGAGCCGCTGAGACCGTGAAATCACAGGCTAAAGAGCTACTGAATGAGGCTAGCTGCAATGTGGATGCAGTGGAAAAAGATGCACACAGATTCTACAAAGACAAGACCACTGATATGAAGAAAGGAGTGCGACCACCACACAAAAATAGGAATTCCAATCAAAAATCTTGTACTCATGGTACGCAACATCCTCCGAAGCAGTGTCCAGCATATGGAAAAAAATGCAACAACTGCCACAAAGCTAATCATTATGCTCGTTGCTGCAAGAACCAAGCACAGAAAGGCAAGGTAGATGCAGTGGATGATTATTATGAAGTAGAAGAACTTTATGTGGATGCAGTAAAAGATGAAAGAGGAGAAAAAGATTGGATCACTACACTGAAAGTGAACGACATACATCTAAAATTCAAATTGGATACTGGAGCCAATGTGAATGTACTGTCAGAGACCGATTTCATGAAAATAAGACTGAGACCAAAAATACAAAGAGCAAACATGAAAGTCACAGCTTATGCAGATGCAGACATACCAAAGAAGGGAAAATGCATCGTGAATTTGACACACAAAGGCCAAGTGCACAAGCTATTCTTCATCATAGTTCCCAGGGATGTGCAGGCCATACTAGGATTGTCGGTGTTCAGATATGATTCCTCTCTGTTAGCTGGATTTGAAAGAAACAATGTAGAATGCTGTTGAAGGTATTTCCTGCTGACTGTGATTACAATCACCTTTGGTACCCCCTCACCCCCACTACTTTTATGACCCCTCCAGAGGACATGTCAACATCAAAAGAGGAACTGTTATCTCAAGTATCTGTGTTGCAGCTATTGAGGGACTGCGCTTTGCTATGAGTACTATTGATCTTAGTCTCTTTCCTGAACATCTGTTTGCACACTTAAAACAACGTATGTAGTGTTAAAGTTTATCTTCTTCCTCCTTGGTTGATTAACGGGCCCCCAAGTGTCTCTTCTGTTGTTACTCCGCACCTTGGGTCGGTCCCTGATCGCTGTTAAGCCCCCCTGGGAAGACCTCTTATCTCAGGATGTATGCACAGCGGGGGTTCTGGAACTTGCCATCACACCAAATGGTGGGTAGTGGTCATTTGGTCTCACCTCACCACTCCCACCTTCTTCCAGCCACACCGGGTCAGATGTCATGTTACTTTCTTTGTTTCCGGGATTTGCATGAGAGGCGTACCTAACCGCCTCTCATTATCATATTGTCTCTATATAATCTCATGAATGTGTTTCTTCTACGCTTCCTGTTTCAAATCTGGACCCCTCAGGAGCCCAAATCGATTTGTAAACTGCAGAAATAAATTAAAAGCCTTCGAAGGAACTGTTCATCGCCTCCAGCCTTTATTTGGATTACCAACATTCTCCTCATCCGAAATTCAACGAAAACGCGGGGAAGAGGAGGCCGCTCTTCCCCCAACATCGGCATGTGAGAGACTACACCTAGTGAAGAGAGTTTTTGTCGTGGACAGACAAAAAGAGACTGTATATGATCAACTTGTGGAGGAGTACAAAGACTTGTTTCAGGGTTTAGGCTGCCTACCAGGAGAACACACAGTTAGAGTAGACAAAAGTGTCCCACCAGTCATACATCCATGCAGAAAAGTTCCATTTGCTCTGCAAAAGCAACTAAAAGTGGAATTGGACAATATGGAGAGCATGAATGTAATCAAGAAAATTAATGAGCCGACAGACTGGGTGAGTTCGCTTGTTGTAGTGGATAAAAAGAATGGAAAACTCAGAATATGCCTGGATACAAGAGACTTAAACAGAGCTGTTAAGAGAGAACACTTCAAGCTACCTACTCGTGAAGAGATCATGGCACAATTTTCGAATGCAAAATATTTCAGCAAACTGGATGCGTCTTCAGGATTTTGGCAAATGAAACTGGACGAGCCAAGTTCAAAACTATGTACTTTCAACACCCCGTTTGGAAGATACAGATTCCTAAGACTACCATTTGGCATTGCTTCAGCTCCTGAGGTGTATCACAAAACAATCAACATGATCTACGAGCATTTGGAAGGAGTTGATACCTCGATGAATGACATTATCATTTGGGGCACCACCAGAGCTCGGCATGACGAAAGACTGAAAGCTGTGCTAGAAGCAACAAGAAAAGCAAACCTGAAGCTGAATAAAGAGAAATGTCAGCTTGGTGTGACAGAAGTGACATTTGTGGGAGATATCCTAAGCAGTAATGGTATCAGACCAGACCCACGAAAAGTGTCTGCTATTGAAAACATGCCAAGGCCACAATGCAAAAAAGATGTGCAAAGGTTTAATGGGATGATTACATTCATGGGAAAATTCATACCCAACCTGTCAGAGAAGATGGCCCCACTGAGACAACTGATTGAGAAGAACATAGAATGGCAATGGAATCATGAACATGAAAAGGCATGGACTGAACTAAGAAAGCTGCTCACAGAGAAACCAGTACTGAAATTCTATGATCCAGAGAAACCAATCAAAATATCATCGGATGCATCACAGAGTGGGCTTGGTGCAGTACTACAAAAACACAAGAACTGGCAACCTGGAGCATATGCATCACGTTCAATGACGGATCCGGAAACACGTTATGCACAGATTGAAA